CATGTGTGAGTTAAGGAAAATTCAACCAGAAGCTCTAGCAACTGCTTTCACAGACACTATCACATTTAACCCCTAACAACCTTAGCGTATTATCCCATCTTCTTGTTGTTAAGTGCCGTCGAGTCAGTTCCAACTCACAGAGACCCTGCATTGGGTTTCCCAGGAGCGTCTGGTGAGCTTGAACTGCCGACCTTGAGGTTGAAACAGACCTTGCAGTCCAGCGCATTAACCCACAGTGCCACTCCAGGATTCCCATCTTAGAAATGGGTAAAACGAGACTGGGTAACCTGCCCCCAAGACAGCGTCTGGATTTAATCCCAGGTCAATCTGACTGCAAATACCATCCAATATGCACTAAATCTTATGCGGTAGTAGTTCGTTCGGGAAAGAGCGACTGATTAGTGTGTTTGTGTAAAACGATCAAGGAAATCTGCGAGACCTGAGAGTCTATATTTGGGTCATTAGACAGGAAAGGGGAGGACGGGATAGGATGCTCAGATTAGCAGAATTTGTGTGAGGTATGGCCTTTAACAGGAGTCACAAGCATGCATCCTTTGAGGAATAGGAAGTGACAAGTGATGAGTGGTGAGCTTCGTTGCAGTCGCGTAAATGCAAGTGCTAGTAAACTCGGGAGCCGAGGATTGGTGACGCTTACCTGGAGAATGCGGTTGTTAAACGTACGCCAGAGCGCACACACACAACAGCACGCAAAACTGGGAAGAGCTGTTGCTTTAAGGAGCGTGCCCGTACATCCTCACGTGACCCCGGCGTCCGCGTCCTTCCAATCCTCATACAGGCCAATCATGTAGCGAGAAGCCTCCTGGAGGGCGGGAGCTTCGTACGGTGCTCGCCGATTGGTTGTGTTCATGGAGGGCGGGGCCCGGACACCGAGAGAGGGAATTAGCGTGGAGAACCGGCTGAGTGGGAGCGGCGGTCATCTCCTCAGCCGTCCTCGCCGCGCGGGAGCAGTCAGGTGAGCAGGCCCTCCCTCGGCCCAAGGACTCCCCGCCTGCCGCGGGCTGCGTACTCACCAGTCCCCTAGCCCACTCCGTCCGGGCCCCCCCGCCCCTGCGCCGACCACGTGATCCTGGCTTGGTGACCCCTGACCTCCCTCCTCCATCCCACCCCGCCACTTCTAGTCTAAGATGAGGGAGGTCAGTTCCCACGCCTTCTCGTTTGTAGAGTTCGTGGCCCCGCTTGTGGTGGGGGAGGTTTGGTTAGAGCCCACACTTTGTAGGGTGTCATGGGGTGCTCAAAGGAGCCCAGGTGACACAGAGGCTTAGCTGCAAACCTGTTGATGGGCGGTTCGAACCCACTAGCGGCTCCAGGAGAACTATTTGGCAGGCGGCTTCCGTTAAGATTTTTAGCCTTGGAAACCCTATGGGGCAGTTCTGCTCTGTTCTGTTGCGTCCCTTTGACTCGGAATAGGTTGGATGGCAGCGGGTTTGGTTTGATTTGGTTTGAATGTGGGTACTGAACTTCCTATACGGCTTTGGCAGGGGCATAATGCACCCATTTTACAGGTGAAGAAACTGATGCTTGGTCCATATCTGTTGGCGATCAAGGGTAAGGAGTGTGGGTCTTCAATGCCGAGGCTGTAGATAGTGGTCACCTGCTCTTCACAGGATATAGTGTGAAGATTAGGAACAAGGGTTTGAGCCCTTGCACCCGGCTTACTCAGTGCTCACTGGAGGATTTTGAAGGAGTCATTTAACCAAAGACAACCTAGGTTGTAAAATGAGCCTTCAAAACAAAACAGTTGCCCATGAAGTCTCTTCCACTCCCAGTACTGACTCACAGGGACCCTGTGTATGTCAGAGTAGAACTGTGCTCCATTTTCCAGAAGTGGCGCACCAGGCATTTCTTTCAAGACTCTTTTGGGTGGACTTGTACTGCCGGCCATTTGGTTAGCAGCCAGGCTCTACCAGGGCTCCTTTTGAAATGAACATAAAACTGATTGCTATCAAGTCTTTCTGATTTATAGCTGCTTCATTGCACAGAGGAAAAACTGCCCACAGAGAGTTTCCAAGACTGTATTCTTTATGGGCCTATGGGAACAGCCCACACAGAGTTTCCAAGATTGTAATTTTTATGTATTGGACTGGGTAAATCTGCGGCAAAAGAACACTTTTAAAGTGTTCAAGACGTCTCTTTGAGGTCCAAGGTGTACTATGTGACCAAAACCCGAGTATTTTCAGTCTCCTCATAAGCATTCAATCAAGAAGTTAAATGATATATTGCACTAGATAAATCTGTTGCATGAGACCACTTTAAAGTGTTGAAGAGCAAAGATGTCAGTGTGAGGACTAAGGTGCGTCTGACCTAGCCATTGCATTTTTAATAACCTCATATGCATGTGAAAGTTGGACAGTGAATATGAAAGACCATAGGGAAATTGTTGCATTTATGTTAGGGTGTTGGAGGAGAATATTAAAAGTGCCATGGTCTGCTAGAAGAACAAACAAATCTGTATCAGAAGAAGTACAACCAGAATGCTCCTTAGAAACCAGGATGGCGAGTCATTGCCCCTCATACTTTGAACATAATATTAGGAGGGACCAGTCTCTGGAGAAGTACATCATGCTTGGTAAAGTGGAATGTCAGTGAAAAAGATGCAGACCCCAATGAGATGGATTGGCCCAGTGGCGGCATCAGTGGGCTCAAGCTTAACAGTGATGGTGAGGATGGCCCAGGAGCGCACAGTGTTTCATTCTGTTGTGCATAAATAAGGTCGCTGTGAGTCGGAATAGACTTGATGGCACCTGATAACAACAGCCCTGGTGTGGTGCTGTAGGACAAGCACTGGACCACACGTTTTAATTGTAAGGTTGGCTGATCAAGCTTACCAGCATCTCCTCGGAAACCCTATATGGGTCGTGATGAGTCGGAACTGACTCATAGTGACTTCATGGCACTTAACAACAACTACAACAACATATGCACGCAAATATGACAAATAGGTCAACGAAAAAGGAAAGCTGAAGGCGTCATGTCTTTGATTTATGGTATTAGCTAAGAATATAGAATATACCGTGGATTGGCAGAAGAATGAACAAAATCTGTCTTGGAAGTGGTATAGCCAGAATGCTTTTAGAAGTGAGGACGGTGAGACTTTGTCTCATTTACTTTGGACATGCTATTGGGGGGACTAGTCTTTAGAAAAAGACTTGCGTGGCAGAGGGTCAGCATCAGAGGAAGCTCATAGACAGGCTCGATCGACACTGTGCCTGCAACAATGCGCTCAAAGTAACAATTGGGAGGCTGGTGCCGGACTGGGCAGTGTTCTGTTCTGTTGTGTATAAGGTTGATGTGATGGCATTTAACACCACCGCCAAATCTTTATGGAAGCAGACTACCATAGCTATCTCTCAAGAAATGACTGGTGGGTTCGAACGGTTGACCTTTTGAATAAGTGCTTAACCACTGCGCCACCAGGACTTCTGAAATGGACATGTTGTTGTTGTTAGGTACCATCTAGTGATCCTGTGCCCAGCAGAAGGAAACATTGCCGGTCCTGTGTCTCCTCATAGCTGTTACGTTGGGGGCCATTGTTGCTGCCACGGTGTTAGTCCATCTCGTTGAGGGACTTCCTGTGCCCACGTGATACCTGTGACGTGGTTCCTCAGGCAATAGCACCCAATCCAAAAAATAGCTGTTCTTTATTCGGTTTTGCAGGCAAGTGTTCATTGAGGACGTATTATGTTCTGACACTGTACTGGACGCTGGGGATGCAAAGGTAAGCAAACACATGATCCTTGCCTGCATGGAACTTACAGTTCTAGTGTGGGGGCAGGTGCTAATCAAAAGTTACAGAAAGAGGAGTATATGATTACAAAGCCAGAGGACTACTCTGCAGGTAAATACTGGGATGGGGGGAGGGGTGCAGGGGGTGATCTCGGGTGGCTTCCCTGAGACAGTGATGTTTGAACTGAGATCTGAAGGAGTGGGCAGGAGTTCACTTCACAGAGGACTGGGGTGGAGGGCCAGGAGGAGAATGTTGGGAGCAGAGGAAACGGATTGCAGGAAGGGCCGCAGGTATGAACGCAGGTACAGGAGAGAAAATGGTGAGATTCTCTGCAGGAGCAGGAGGCAGCCCGTGCTGGTCTTGGGAGCCCAGGTACAGATTTGTTTGTTAGTCTAAAGGTGATGGAGTCCTGGGGTGGCGCTGTGGGTTAATGCGCTGGACTGCAAAGGCAGTTTGAACCACAAGGTTGGTGGTTCAAGCTCACCAGTCTCTCCTCAGAAACCCTGTACAGGGTCGCTATGGGTCAGAACCAACTAGACCACCCTAATAATCATAACAACTAAAGGTGATGGGGCACATTGGGAGAGGCCAGGCAGGCTGCCCCTTAGATTGAGTGACCCAGTGAGTCTTGCCAGGGGCCTGGTAGGGGTAGCACCCTGGGTGGGTCACTGTGGAGTGGAGTCTTACTGCCTGAGGCCTGTCTCCTAAGGTGTGGCATGCGCTGTTGCAGTCGGTCATTGGCTGTTGTTTTGAGTGAGTTCTCTCTCTGCCGGGCTGGGGACAGATGAGCGCGTCTCTGCTTTCAGAGCTTGCAGGCAAACTGGAAGGACCAGACATGAGTACCACACCCAATGACCACAAGTCTGACAGTCCCAGGTGGCATAGGGGACAAGGAGACCCCAAAAGAGAAGTGAGAGTTGTCTTGACAGAGGAGAGGACTTGGAGTAGGCTGAAACCAGCCTGGGCAGAGCCGTGGTAGAGGAGCACAAGGCCAGGCCTGAGGACAGTGGGGTGGCCGTCCTAGGAGGGAGGGTCAGATTGACGAGCTATGGGATTTGGGGCTAGCTGCAGAATGCAGGGCCAGGGACAGTGAACTTTATAAGCAGTGGGCACTTTCTCTATTATCACGCTTGCCTGCCTGCTAGCCAGACTGCTGTCTGCTCTGAGCCTCTGTTTCCTTTGGTTCCGAGGATCCCTAGTCTTCCTCTGGGCTCCTAGGGAGACTGGGGAGACTCTCAGGCCGGCCTTCTCTTCCCAGCTCCATCGGGGCCATGTCGGAGCGAGAAGAGCGGCGGTTTGTGGAGATCCCTCGGGAGTCCATCCGCCTCATGGCAGAGAGCACGGGCCTAGAGCTGAGTGACGAGGTGGCTGCTCTGCTCGCAGAGGATGTGTGTTACCGCCTAAGAGAGGCCACGCAGGTACCACTCCCCCAGCCCCGGGCACCTGCCACTCTCAGTCTTGGTCTTCTTCTAGCCAACTTGTCCTTCCAGCAGACACATGCTGGCATCTCAGCAGCTGGGCAAGCAGAGCAGATTCCTGCTCATGTTCTGCAGATGAGAAACTGAGGCTCAGGGAGAGGACGTAACCAGAGCAGGGGGTGTTTGTACAAGGGCAGAGCTGGAACCCACTCTTTCTGGTTGCTGCTCTGGGCATCTGCTTTGCTGCCTCTCTTCATCTGGGGGGCACGCTGTCTTCCCCCTTCCCCACTCCAGTCCCCTAACGCTGGCTACTGTTCCTCCCCTCTCAGAATAGCTCTCAATTCATGAAGCACAGCAGACGGCGGAAGCTGACTGTGGAGGATTTCAACAGGGCCCTTAGATGGAGCAGTGTGGAGGTGAGTGGATGTGAGTGCAGCAAGACCTGAGGACCAGAGAGAGCCAGACACACATCCACAAGCTTACTGCAGTGGCAGGCCAGGTGCTGGGCCCAGTCCCCAAGGGCTGCAAGTTCAAAAGAGGAGAGGAGGTTTCTTGTAGAGGTGGGACTTAAGCTGGGCCTTGGAGGAGGAAGAGAGGGCATCTGGGTAAGGGAGGAACTTGAACTAAAGTATGGGTGTTCTAGTGGGAGGGGTATAGGTGTTCTGGGGAGGCAGGTGAGAGAGGGTCATAGAAGAGAGCAGTTTTCAGAGGGAGTGAGAGACCGACCCGCAGTACAGAGGGAGGATGAAGGGTTATGTTAGAGGGGCCCAGGCTCTACCCACAGGCCCACCAAGTCTGGATGCCCTGGCTAGATTCCCAGTGATGGTCCTGAGCCCCCACCCTGACCAGAAGGACCATGTAGGTGTGGGTAACTCCCGGATTCCGGCTGCCCTCTGTCTCTTTCCTCAGGCTGTGTGTGGCTACGGGTCCCAGGAGGCCCTGCCCCTGCGTCCTGCCAGGGAGGGTGAGTTCTACTTTCCTGAGGACCGAGAGGTGAACCTGGTGGATCTGGCCTTGGCCACAAACATCCCCAAGGGCTGTGCCGAGACAGCTGTGAGAGGTGGCTGCTGGGGCAGGAGCTGGGCACTCAGAGGGAGGAGGTGGGCTGGCGGGTAGAGGGAGCAGAACTAGGTTACAAGGGCCAAGACCCAGGCCTTCCCATCTCTCTGCTCCACTGTAGTTCATGTGTCCTACCTGGATGGCAAAGGGAACCTGGCACCGCAGGGATCAGGTAAGAGGCCCTGTAGGGCCACGTCTTCCCTGTACATATGTATGGATGGCACAGGACACGGCAGCATGTCTATGGTTATACATGGGGTCGCCGAGTCTGAACCAACGCAGTGGTACCTAACAACAAGCTCTGGTGGTACAGAGATTGAGTGCTCAGTACCTAACCAGTTTGGTGGTTCGGATACAGCAACTGCTCTGTGGGAGAAAGATACGGCCATCTGCTTCCCTAAAGTTTGGTGGCGGTGGTGCGCTGTTGAGTTGGTTCTGACTCAGTGACCCTCTACAGGGTTTCTTAGCTGTTAATCTATGGGGGCAGAAAGTCTTATCTTTCTACCACGGAGCTACTGGTGGATTCGAACTGGTGACTTTACAGTTAGCAAGCCCAATGTGTAACCCACCCACTAAGCTGCTAGGGCTCCTTTCTCTAAAGATGATAGCTTGGGAAACCCCAAGGGACAGTTCTAGTCATCCTATGAAGACTCTAAGATTCAGAATTGACTTGATGATAATGAATAATGAATGGGTTTGCCTTGTACCAAGTTCTGAGCTGGCCTGGGCCCTGCCCGGGGGGCTTGGTTTTGGGAGATGTACTCCCAGACCCATAACCTGTCATAGTTCATGGACTTGGAGGCCAGCACAGAAGTCTAGCCAGCAAGCTGGGGTCCCGAGGGAGCTGTTGAGCTTCCAGGGAATGCTGAGTCAAGCTTCCCGGGCCTGGGCCTTAAGGACTGAGCAGGAAGTTGCCTGGCTAAGGTGGGTTGGAGAGTGGGTTGCTCTGAGTGTCCAGTGTCCCTGTGCTCTGGGAGTCCTGTCTGAATGGGTTCCTGTGAGTGCATGTGCCCTTCCCCCCTGACCACTTCCTGCCCACTCTCTCACAGTGCCCAGCGCTGTGTCCTCACTAACGGATGACCTTCTCAAGTACTATCAGCAAGTGACTCGGGCTGTGCTAGGAGACGACCCGCAGTTGATGAAGGTGAGCTTTCACAGCCCATGAGTTCCTGAAGGCCTGCATTTCCCGTCTTCTCCAGAGAGTCTGGCTGGTGTGGGGCTCCAACTGCTCACAGGACTGTGGTGTCTGGGGGGAGTGGGGGGGCTACCCGCCAGTCCTGACTCCCCTTCAGACTCCAACAAAGCCCTTGTTCCTTGAGGAGCAGGGCGATCTGTCCTCCCATACCTTTGGCTTGGGGCTCACTTTCTGGGGTTTCTCTTGATCTGGGGCCAAGTGAGGCATACACAGCCTCTGCCTGGACCCAGAAGGCCGCAAAGAGCAATTAGAGGGGCCAGGAAAGGGTCCCGGTGCCTCAGACCAGTCCCTGCAGCCTCTGCCAACTGGTCCCTGGGGCTGCCGCTGGGCCTGCTGGGCGGTCCCCTCGGTGCAGACTCCGGAGGGCTCCTTTGGTGGTTTGCCCAAACCACAAGAGGGTGGTGGCCTCCCTCTTGTTGAGGGTTTTATAGTTTCCACAGCTTTGCATCTGCCTCCTGCTGCTATTTCTCATGCAAAAGTCAGAACGCTGCTACTTTTCATTCCCGTCTTTGAAACTTGGCTCCTATTTCCCAGCCACAGTGTGGGCGGCTGGCTATGGAGCCAGCAGAACTTGGGAGCTGAGCCCTTCAGCACAGCCTATGGTCTGCTTTCCACGACGGCTGGACGCGGAATCTTGGTGCACAGGCATTTAGACGACACAGATGATGGAGATGCAGACCTGAGGTGGGGGTAGAGGTGGGGTGCCATCGAGTTACAAGACTCTGTGTAGGGGTTCTGAGGTTATATCCATCTTTACCGGAGCAGAAAGCCTCAGCTTTCTCTCTGGAGTGACTGGTAGATTCGAACTGCTGACTTTGTGATTAGCAGCCCAACTTGTAATCCACTACACTATCAGGGCTCAGACCCAAGACAGCTGTGGTTATTTACGTGTTCTAATACATATTTTCTGCTTTTAAAAGAAACACTTGGTGGTGCTGTGAGTTAAGCATTGGACTGCTAACCACAGGGTACGTGATTCAGAGCCACCAGCTGCTCAGCAGGAGAGAGACGAGGCTGTCAGATCCCGTGAAGATTCACAGCCCAGAAGCCCTGAGGAGCAGCTCTGCTCTGTCCTTTGGGGTCAGCTGAGTCAGAATTGACTCCATTCCAGTGGGCTTGCTTTCGGTGTGGCTTCACCGTTGTCTAGGGTGCTGTTCAGTCAGTTCCGACTCTAGTGACCTGACGTACACCAGCACACTGCCCAGTCCTGTGTCCTCCGCACAGTCCTTGCTGTCTTGGAGCCCATTGTTGTAGCCACAGTGTCAGTCCGTCTCCTTAAGGGCCTTCCTCCTTTTCACTCACCCTCCACCACACCCAAGCATGTCCTTCTCCTGACAACATGTCCACAGTGTGTGAGGCGAAGTTTCGCTGTTGGCATGCTGAAGGGCATTCTGCTTTTTGCCAGGAAGGTGGGCTCATTTTGCTGACAGTCTTGGCTGTACTCAGTATATACGAAGGGATTGTTTCTAACTGGTGAATTGACTTTCCGTGGGAGAATATCGGCTTTACACCATTTCATTGCAATGATTACAATCTCCTCCGTGCATCATCGTTCAACAGGATTGCTTCCATACCCTCTTGTTTTTTGGGGGGTGGGAGATGTACACGAAAACACTCAGGAATATATAATGATTTAAGCAACCAAAGGGCACACCCACCAGAGGACTTTTCCATTATCTTTTCATTTCATTTATGTGCTTTTCTGAAATTCCTGGTACATCTAAGACACTAGTCTGGGCTAACAGTAGAAGTTGTTAGGTGCTGTGAGTTCAGCCTGGATCTTAACAGACAGAACTGCTCCATTGGGTTTTCTAGGCTGTCAGCTTTACAGAAGCCGACCATCAGGCCTTGCTTTCATGGGACCACCGGGTGGGCTTTAACTGCTGACCTCTTACACATGTTTGCACCACCAGGGTCCCTCACTGTAAATGTGCAATAGACAAATATGTCAAGTGTGACCTCTCCAGTGGGACTGCCCAGTTTCTACTTATAAATCATAATTAGTATAAACCAGAGTCGCATTCTTAGACATCTGGTTTGGCAACTTGCTTTTCTCAGTTAAAAGCATATTGTCTTCAGTGACCCACAGTGCTACGTCTGGGGGGGTGTGAGTCGCTTCCCATGGGACAGAGTCACAGAAGTGGAACTGCTGGTGCAGAGTATGAATAGTTCCAGTGTGAATATAAATGCTCCACTGCTGTCCCACAAAATGCCCCTTTCCAGTGGGGCTGTTGGTCTCAGTGCCGTCTGGCCCTCCCTTCCAGATTGCCCTCCAGGACCTGCAGACGAACTCCAAGATAGCAGCGCTTCTGCCCTATTTTGTGTATGTGGTCAGTGGGGTAAGTGAGCAGGCTGGGCCAGGGCAGAAGTAGCCCAGTGTGTGCAGGGCCCATGGCAGGTGCTGCCCACTTGTCTCCTTGACGTCTCTCCTTTTCTACAGGTGAAATCCGTAAGCCATGATCTGGGCCAGCTGCACCGGCTGCTGCAGGTGGCCCGGAGCCTGGTTCGGAATCCACACCTCTGCCTGGGGCCCTACATCCGCTCCCTTGTGGGCAGTGTCCTCTACTGCGTCCTGGAGCCACTAGCTGCCTCCATCAACCCCCTGAATGACCACTGGACTCTGCGGGATGGGGCCGCCCTCCTCCTCAGCCACATCTTTTGGTAGCCACTGGGCTGTGAGCTGCAGAGCCAGCCAGCTGAGTTGGGGAGGGACGCAGGCTGTAGCCTCCAGCTTTGAGGCTGTATCTTGAGAGAGTGGGGAGCCCTTTTGTCTCTTCCCAGTGGGTGTGCCATGGCACCCTGGGAGTCGACATGGTTTTGGTGCTACAGGCCAGTCCCCCCAGCGGCTCGAGTGCCTCAGGAAGGTGCCTGACTGAATGCTGCTCCCACAGGACTCACGGGGACCTCGTAAGTGGCCTCTACCAGCAGACCCTGCGTTCCCTGCAGAAGGTCCTGGCCGACCCTGTGCGACCTCTCTGCTCTCACTACGGGGCGGTGGTGGGGCTACACGCCCTGGGCTGGAAGGTGAGAGCTCCCTTTGTAGTTAAAAAAAAAATACTTGCTTCGTTTTTGTTTTTTTTTAAATCACATGTTGTGTATCTTTTATTCTAAAAATGGTGCATGCTTGTTGGTGTCATTTATTGAGCTCTGACAGTAATCGCCTGGCTTCTTGTATAGAGATGTCTCATCCGTTCAGGAAATCCTGCAGGGCAGGTGTGTGTGTAGCTTCTTGTAAAGCCCTGCCCAGTCTAGTTTATTGAGGTGAGGACATGTTCCTGCAATACTGAGAGGTTGACTTTGGTCGAACACCCTTTACCATGGTTCTTTCTCCCATTGCCATCAAGTCAATTCAAATGCATAGCAACCCTGTGTAGGTTGCTGAGGCTGTCAACTTTACTGGGGCAGAAAGACGCATCTCCCCCCCACCCCACCCCCAGGAGCAGTTGGTGGGCCTGAATTGCTGACCTTGTGGTTCGCACTCCAGTGCTTCTCCTATGGAGCCACCGCACACGTGTTACCATCTCTGTTGTTGTTAAGTGCTGTCAAGCTGATGCTGACTCATAGCAATCAGGTATAGGGTTTCCAAGGAGCCGCTGGTGGGTTTGAATCACCAACCTTGTGGTTCAAAGTCCAGTGCTTGTCCTACAGTGCCACCAGGATTCGTTGATTAAATGACTGCCTTGGTTCCTCTGCATTTAACTGCTTATGTTTGTGGGGTTTTCCACCAAACCACTTTTGCAGACAAGGAATATGTTCAGCTTGCTACTGTAGAGATTTTGTCTGGAGTTAGACTGACTCAGGTCTGTCCTGGACAGACTTGAAGTCACTGTATTAAGTCTTGACCCTGAACATGTCATTCCTCCATTTTTTAAGGTCTTCATTGTCCTTCAGAATGCCTTCATGATTTTCCCTGAAGTGAACCTGCATGTATTTTATAATTTTCAATCTGTGTTTCTTGTTGGTATATAGGAATGCAATGGACTTTTGTGTCTTGATCTTATATCCAGAGACTTTACTATCATTTCTAATAATTTATATGTAAATTTAAAAAATAGAAGATCTTATTACATGCAAATGACAGCTTGATGTCCTCTTTTCAAATCCTAGTGACTTACATTTCCTTTTACCTTCTCATTAGGGCCAGTGATGTCTGTTTGCTTTTGATAATGGACCTTTTTAAAGAAGTACTAATGACCTTTTCCATTCAGATTTAGTTTACTTGTTTTTGTGTTTATAGATTCCCTTTCATAGACCAAGGAAATTACTTAATTGTCTTAGTTTTATTATTAGTTTTTGTTGAATTCTAATCGAGTGGTTTTCTGCATCTACTGAAACAATCCTAAGGTTTTTCTGCTTTTATGTGATAATTGTGATTGATACTTATGGCTAGGTTTTCAAGTAATAAGCCATTTTTAAATCTCTGGGGTACATTCAGCATAGTTTCTTGGTATCTACTTTTCAAAAGTAGTAGGGTTTTAATTGGGATATATTTTTTATATACTCCCAAATTTTCTTAAACAAAAAACGTTACGGATTGGAGTGAAGTCGGTCATTAGTACGATGTGTCTCATGTACTGTCCTTGTCTGGTTTTTCTGTCCCAGGTATTATACTGGCCTCCTAGAGCGGGTGGGAGCCCTGGTGTGGTACAGTAGGAGAAGCCCTGGACCCCGAGGTTGGTTTGAACTGCAAGGTCGGCCACTACCAGCCAGTCCTCAGGAATCCCTACACAGGGGTTCTCTGAATCAGAATGGGCAAGGATATATTTTCGATGGCACTTAATAACAACAACATAAAAAATAAAAAGCCAGCCTGCTTCTGTAAAGTCTTATGTTCCCCTAAATTCATCACAGACTTTAAAGTTATATAATCAGAGTCCAGGTGCAGGTGGGTTCAGCTGAGTCCCGCTTTCTGTCTAAATGGGGACAGAACCAGCCTACTGGTTACATAGGGCCTAGGCTTGCACTTGTGACTTGCTGTGTTAGCAGTAGGCACTGCGTATGCCCTTGTAGCCCTGGCCTGTACATCAGGAGAGTGAGACCACTTTATTGTGTCTTAATACCTTACTGTATTCCCATGCTTAGCAAAGACTTGGACAGGCAAAAAACCAGTGTTGCCCTGGAGTCCGTTAGCTTGCAGTGTGATTCCGTGCCTTGTGGAGTAGACCTTTGCCCCACAAGGTTTTCAATGGCTGGTTTCTTGAAAATGCATCAGCAGGCTTTTCAGTTGGTTTTGCTGTTGTTGTAGTAAAGAGCCATCAAATCAGTTCCCACTCGTAGCAACCCTCTGTAGGGTTTCTGAGGAGTGGCTGGTGAGCTTGAACCACTGACCTGGCAGTTCAGACTGACAGTGCATTAAACCACAGTGCCACACCAGGACTTACTTCGGTTGGTAGTCGAGTGCTTAATTGTCTGTGACACTCAGGGACTCCTCCTTGGATGCCGTACAGTCCAAAAAATAATTATAGGCTGAATATGCTAAGTAGGCATAGAGAATTGTTGTTAGTGTAGTCAAGTTTGTTTCTGAGGAGCAGCTAGTGGGTTTGAACTGCCGACTTTGTGGTTTGCAGTCCGGTGCTGATCATCCCTCAGCACCACCCCAGGTGGAATCAGGGACTTCCGGACTGTGGTCCATACTGGAGAGCTAGTAACCTGCCATAAAGCAGAGCTCACACGCTCTTCTCTCTTCCAGGCAGTAGAGCGGGTCCTCTACCCACACTTGTCCACTTACTGGACAAACCTGCAGGCTGTACTGGACGATTACTCCGTCTCCAATGCCCAAGTTAAAGCGGATGGCCACAAAGTCTATGGAGCCATTCTGGTGAGGGCCTGCCCCTTCGTGGACCTCTTTTCTGGGTGAGTTCAGCTGAAAACTCCGCGGGCCCCGGTTCTTCCTTGTCTGAGGCCCGCTGTTCCTGCAGGTGGCCGTGGAGCGACTGCTGAAGATGAAGGCCCAGGCGGCCGAATGCAGTAGGAGCGGCCTGGGGTTTCGGGGAGGTCGGCGCGCGGACGACCTGCCCTGGGACAGCCTCCTCCGGCAGGAGCCAGCCTCCGGGGCCACCACGGAGCCGGGCTTCGGCGCTGGCCTCTTGCTGCCGCCGGGGAGTGTGGGGCCCGAGGACCCTTCCCCTTCAGTTACTCTGGCGGACGTCTACCGGGAGCTGTATGCCTTTTTTGGTGACAGTTTGGCCACCCGCTTCGGCACTGGGCAGCCGGCGCCTAGGGTCCCGCGGCCACCGGGTGACAAGAAGGAGCCTGTGGCCGCTACGGACGTAGTACGGAAGATGCCGCAGCTGACCGCCAGCGCCGTGGTCAGCCCGCAGGATGACGACAGCCCGCGGGGCGCGGGCGGTGGGCTCCCATCTGCTTCTGCGTCCGCTGCCGAGAGCCGGCCGCTGCCGCGCGTGCACCGGGCGCGGGGGGCACCCCGCCAGCAGGGCCCGGGCACCGGCTCCCGCGAAGTCTTCCAGAAGAGCCGCTTCGCCCCACGCGGCAGCCCACACTTCCGTTTTATTATCGCGGGTCGGCAGGCGGGTCGGCGCTGCCGTGGGCGCCTCTTCCAGACGGCCTTCCCCGTGCCGCCCGGGCCCAGCCCGGCCTCGCGCTACGTGCAGAAGCTGCCCATGATCGGCCGCACCAGCCGCCCGGCCCGCCGCTGGGCGCTCGCCGACTACTCACTGTACCTGCCGCTCTGAGCCACCCGGAAATGGCGTCTGCGCGCACGCAGCCGTGCCGGAAGAGGCGGGGCCCGGGCGGTTGGCTCTCGCGGCGGTGCTTCCTGGTGGTGAGGGGGGTGGCCATGGCGCTGTCCTGTCCCCAGCGCATTGAGCTCGCGCTCTTCGCTGCCGCCTTCCTGTGCGGGGCCGTGGCGGCCGCAGCGCTAACCAGAACTCAGGTGCGGCTGCGGAGGGGGTACGGCCTGGGGGTGGGGAGGGGGGAACTCGGGCCGGGCAGGCAGGGGGACGGAACAGCCTGGAAACGCCTCCTGGCCCTTTTATGGGCTAGCCGGGCCCACGCCCTGGTTCTGGGAGCGAGTGGGCCAGGGGAGGTTTGGCCGGCGCCAACTTAGGGCGGGGTACAGCCATGCTCATCAAGCCCTGCACTCCTGTCCAGCCAGGTCATCCTTTGGAATTGTCACGTTGTAAGGGACAGAGCCACTTTACTCTCTTTCTGGACCAGAAGTTGGTTCAGCCCCTTAAATCTGAAGCCATTTGTGGCGAGAAATAAAGCCTGTTTTAACGATGAAGAAAATGTCATGTGGTTGCAACACTATGTCAAATGACGAAACTATGTAAAATGCAGCTATGTAATAAGCGCTAGTTTACCCGTGTCAGGCAATCCTGTTAATAAACGTGTTCTGTGGCATGGGGTCGTTTCATCTTGAGTAGGCAGTGTGTGATGCCTATTTCAGATTAGGAACTGTCTGGGAGAGTTACTTGAAGGCTAAAGAAGGTCTGAGTTTACTCTAGATAATGTCTACATTATCTAGACATTGATAATGTAGACAGGAGTTGTGGTAGCGAAGTGGTTACGAATCGGGCTGGAACCTTAAGGTCAGCGGTCCGGGAGAAAGATGAGGCTTTCTACTCCCGTAAAGGTTACACCCTCGGAAACCCTGTACAGGGTCGGAACCGACTCGACGGCACTCAACAACGTCTACATGGGGTAGTGCAGTTTTCTGTGACCACTGCCTAGCTCTAGCTCTTCACCCATCTATCTGGTCACTGCAGGTTTGGTACTCCACCTATCTGCCTGACAGGATGGCCCAGCTCTAGGTTAGCCCTACCACCTGCTGTGGGTTATATAGTAAGCAAGCTTTTCCCCACAGGCCTCCTTCAGTGGCAGCTGCCCCCTGTATGGCGTTGCTGCCAGGAATGGCTCCTCGCTGACTTTATCCCATCCTTCGGCCCCATCCCTCTGTTACTTTGTGGCTGGGGTGTCTGGCCTCCTGGCCCTCTACTGCCTCCTGCTTCTGCTCTTCTGGGTCTACAGTAGCTGCATCGAGGACTGCCACAGGTGACTGTCCCACTCTGGGGTGGGGTGATGTGCAAAGAGGCCCATTTCTACCACTGGACTTTCTTTCCCTTCAGAGGCCCCATCGGGCTCCGCATCGCACTGGCCATCTCAGCTACAGCCACCTTCCTGGTCTTGGTGGCCGCTTGTATTCTGCGGTTTGGCACCAGCTCTCTCTGCAACTCAATAGTCTCCTTGAAGATTGTAGCCAGGTAATGGGAGAGGGAGGTTGAGGGGAGGGGCTCAAACCTTTAGTCCCCTTCAGTTGCTCTCATGGCTCAGGATCCTGGACAGTTTTTCATCAGCTGTCTGTTTGACATCACAGCTGCCCCGAAGCCCAGACAACTTCATGGACACCCCCTGCAACTGCTGTGCATTTTTACTCCAACCTCTACAATGCTGAAGTAAGACCCTGGGATAGAAAAACCTAGAGAGGCTGAGGGACACACTGGGAAATTCGTTATCTGTCTGAGCCTAAAGGGTGTTCACCAGTTCACATGCCCTCACTTCTCACACTCCTGCTCTTGTTTCCCACAGGCCTCTTCCTGGGTGAGCCTGGTGGTGTGGTGTGTGATCCTAGTCCTTCAGGTTGTGCAGTGGAAGCTGGAAGCTGCCCCGTTCCGGCCTCTGGAGAAAGGGGACCCTGAGTGGAGCTCTGAGACAGATGCTCTCTTTGGGCCTCATCCTTCCCATTTCTGAAGAGTGACCCAAGTCAGTGCTTCCTGCAGCCAAAGACTCAGTGCCCGGCAGCCTGCTGTCCTCCGGTGCTGCCCTGCCCCTCACCCCCGCCATGTGGATACCTGCTGGACCCAGGTTTCCCTGCATGAGGGAAACGTGACAGCCACCTCTCAGCCATGGCTGTTTTTGTACCAAAATAGTATATGACTTTCTGCCTTCATCTTGGTAATGAGTTCTTGTTAATGCACTGTAGGCAGGTGGGTTAAGGAGGTAGACATGAAGGCTCAACAGACGTGATGAAAATCCTGGTCCTGGCAGCCTCCCCTTTGGGAGAGTCTGGAACAAGCACACCTTTATTTTCCACTTAGGAATTTCTGGCCCCCTTACATGACCCTGGTTACTACCCCAGCCCCAAGGTCCAGTTTCTGTCAGGCCGAGTGGCCCAAGGCTTGTCCTTTCTTTACAAGCTGCGGTAAGCACCCACAGTATTGTCAAAGAGTTGCGTGTTGGGGAAGTGTCCAGATTTGTCCAAGAGAAAGTAGAAGCGGCGGCCTTTTACCTTCAGAGGCAACATGGCAGGGACTTCACCCCGGTGGGCCATGCAAGAGACGTGGTTCAGGGGAACAGTGAAATGAGCCCCCCAGCCGAAGGGGGCATGCGTGGTGAGGGTGACCTGCTGCCCTCCAGCCCGCAGCCTCACAGAGCGCACAGAGCGAACGGAGAAGAGCAGACCAGCGCCGAGGACCAGGGCGCCTGCGGGCAGAACAAAGACTGGCTGAGGCGCTCTCCCTAGAGGATGGGCACTGGCACTGTCCGACCCCTGGAGAAACGACGCTCCGATAACAGAGGGGCTCCCCCTTTAGCCCAGACCCAGCTCATCCCCTCCTCCAACCCCAATAAAAAAGCGAACGTAATGTCCCACGTGGTCCAGAGGGCGCAGAAGCCCAGCAGGCCCGTGGGTCTGCAGCACCGGGGCCCACCCCTGGTCCAAGCGGGAGTGCCGCATTCAGGCCTTACCGATAGCGCCGCAGCCGACAGCCAGCCCGTAGCGCCAGAGCGCAGTGCGCAGGTCGGTTCGGCCGCGCTCTGGGCTCTTCTCTGCAGCCAGTGGTCGAGCCAAGGCTGCCCCGGCCAGGGAGGCCCAGAAGACGCCCTGGCCCGCACAGAAGAGCCCGAGGACAGTGAAGAAGCGGCCCCGCTCGTGCTCGAAGAGCAGCACGTCCCAGCCCGGGTGGGCAGTGTGCAGGGCCCGGCGTGGCGGTAGCGGCCGCAGGAAGCCGAGCAGTCTCTGCCAAGACCAAGACGCCGCCATAGCCCGGCCGGGCCCGCCCCTTCTGAGGCGGGACTTCCGGCCGAGGGCTTGGGCCCCGCCCTCACCCACCCAAAGGGGAACGCAGGAAGTCAGGGAGGATCCGGGGCTGCCGTGGGGGCAAGGTGAAACCAATCCAGTAGCCAGGACACAAACAGAACGTCACTCTTTATCTTAAAAAGTATGGCGAAGTCTGGGGACAAATACACAAAGCACCTAAGTCCTTCGGTTACGGTTAGTGTCAGTTCTACAAAGTAAGCTTTGGCTTCCTGGCACCACTGAGATTCAATCTCCCGGAAGTCCTCCAGAAGGCAGGAGAGGAGAGGGATCCAACAGGCGTCCCTCCTGGATCAGTCACAAGGTGCGCCTGGGGCCAGGGTGGGGAGGGTAACAATGACCACGCAATATCCAAGGGCTATTTACAAGGAAGGAGTTTCCGGGCGCTGGAATCACTTCATGAATGCCACTTCTGGGATCTTGCCCTCAGCCTGAGGAGAAATCAAAGGTCAGCAGGAGGCTGTCCCACCCCCTCAGCTTGCTTACTTGGTCTTCTTTAGCTCTTGAACTTTTTTTGCAACTGTATTTCCACAGATTACCTTGAGTTGTGTGAAGACCTGAGCAGATCTGGTGTAGTCCCAGTCGTTGTCCTGAAGGCACCTGGGGGGGTAGAGCCAGAAGACTGTCACTCTGATGTCTAAATGCCATGGCTAATCCACCTGGTTTAGCCAACAGTTACACAGTATGCATTCTCACATTAAAGAATGAGAAAATGGTAAAAGTCTCAATGTCTATCAATGACCCATCAACAACAGAATATTAGTAGTTGCTAAAGTCATTTTCATATGGCTATGGAAAAAATATGCATAGATTTAATTTTTTTAAAAAAGGCGGTAAAATGTGGCCGACTTTTATGTACAGGCCAATTTTTATAGGCTACTTGTATTTTCAACAGCAAAAAAGTACTGGCTTTTAAATGTTCAGGAGTTCTCAATACTCACTGGCAACCCAACCTCAGGTTTTTCCAACACCCACACCCATGCAGCACTCACTTCTGGGACCACTCGAGGTTCATGCCTGACTGGTTGGAGAAAGCTTGCAGCATTTCCTGCTGCTCCGGGGAGAGTGTGGGCACTGGGCTGGAGGAAGGCGTGGGGGCAGGCATGGCGAAAGCTCTTTGGATCTCTTCGGGGCTGGCATTGCGCACAAACAGCTCGTCATTTACGATGCACAGCCTTGGAGGTAGAAAGCGGAGTAAGAGAGCTGACCAACATACTCATCATCCTCCGGCGGTTCTCACTTGGGACACTTCACACAGTCTCTCAGTGCTTCCCCTCCTAGCGGTGACCTTTTCTCATTGACCTCCAGCTATAGACTCCAGGACTGGAGGGACTCTTCCCAGCTGGGGGATGGCTCTGAGTGCTCATTCCACAATAAATCAGGGAGTGCATACGGCTACACGGCTTTCGATGAGAAAACCTCGCCATAGCTGGAAGTGGTGGAGCAGGGGTGAAACCAAGCCAGTTGGATGCTGAGCCCCTTTTATTACCCTACGTCTTCCTACAATTCTGAAAATACCCGCCTGAGGACTGACACCAACCCCAGCTACCACACTGCTGGCCACGTACCCAGAATTGCTGGCAGGGACAGCGATGAACGTCCGGGTGAAGGCTCGCAAAAAGTCCCGGGCCTTTCCATCCACTGTAATGGTAACACAGGTAGTGAGCCCTCAGAGGAGTCTTTCATGCTTTATGTTTACAAATCATTTCTCAAGGCATGGTCTTCCTTGATACAAAGGACCAAAGTGGGTCAGGCCGGGATGGATTATGGACTGGGGAGCAGAGCTGGATGAAGTATCAGGTCGGGGAGGACAACAGTAAGCACGATCCCACTGACGGAGCCCTTGTGGGCCAGGCTGTGCGTATCAAGCACTTTATTAGGTGCTCCCACCCCCACCCCCCCACCCCAGTGACAGGAGAGGCTGTTACTGAGCTGTTGTAAATCAGGACTCCACCCTTGGCAGCAGACACACAGGAGCAAGGCTGGGATGGGGACTCACACCCACCTGTCCTGATCCCAGCCCAGAACACACAGGTGGAGCAGAATGGCCAAACCAGGGTGGGGAAGGGGCAAAAAGGGGGGCAGAGGTCAGGGAAGAAGAGGCAGCCGGACATTGAGGGCTAAGAAAGAGTAGTGTGCAAACTCAGGAAAGGAATCCAGGATTCTCACCTTCCTTGAAGACGCCATTGACAGAAAAACACAGCAATGTGCTCTGAAAGAGAAGGAGCAGGAGTAAAAGGGAGTCATCACAGCCAGGGCCTCAGCACCGCTGTGGGCCGCCTGGCAGCAGAGACCGGACACTTACTGTCTGGGCGCTTATATCAACCACGAATGAATTGACATCATGCTGGGTTTTGGGCAGCTCATTGAGGAAGGCAACAACGTTGAGACGTGTGTGCTTCAGTAACCGGAACCGCAGGCCTGCGGATAAGGAAGAAATCACAATCAGGCACCTCAACTCTCTGATCAAGTTTGCACGCCCTTCTCCCAACCAGCCTGGTGCACAACACACACTTACTGGGGTCTTTCAGCTTCTTCACATTCCTGCTATCCTTGAAGTATTCGGCCAAGTTGCTTCTAACAGACAAAGAGGGTCGGAGGCGGTGGTCAGAGCAATGTGGCTGCTGCTCAGTGCTGGCCTGGGTTTGCGGGAAAGCCCTGGTACCCACCGGTTCGGATTCTGGGGGGTGATCGGAATGCTCAGAGAGCAGCAAGCCCCATCATGGTAGGCATCCAAAAGCCCCTGGCGGTCTCCAGAGTCGTAAATGGCATAGTATCTGTGGCATAAACAGCAGGCAAGTCTGAGCCCCCTAAACAAGAGTCTCCCCACCATTGCCCTGACAGGATAGACAAGAACTGCCCCATGGGCTTCCAAGGGATAAATCTTTATTGTAAGTGGACTTTCACATTTTTCTCCCATGAGGTGACTGGTGAGTTTGAACTGCTGACCTTCCAATTAGCAGTCAAACACTACACCATTGCGCCACTATGAGACCCGAAAGGGCTCAAGACTGTACTCGTCGTGCCAGCCCGACCTCCCTGACCTCAGGTCCCAGGGACTTACTGCTGTAAGAAGTGCAGGAGCAGCCTCTTCAGGGTCTCTGTTCCAAAATAGCTGCCCTGGAATCCATCACACTGGCATTAGGCTCAGGTGACCAACCCCGGCCCACCAGGCCCCAGTCAGAGTGGCCCAGCTTCTCACCTTGCAGGGAGGAAGCATCGTGGGGGCTCCAACATCAAAGGCAATAGGTGGGGGTAACTCATGGCCGTCCTAGCAAGGGAAGGGAAATGGACAGCATGAACCCAAGAAAAAAGGCTGCCCAGGTAAGCAGATATCAGAACTGTTAGGGGAGGGCAGGGGGTGTCAGAGGGCAAATGGGAAAGAGGCATGTGGGCAATCCATGGGCCAGGCCAGTCATGGGGTCTCACTGAGGTGCCAGAATTCCTCAGAGCAGATTTTTATTTATAGGAATTTTTCTGAGGATTACCTACCACCACTGTTAGATTTGCAAAGGGCCCAGGTTCCCAACATGATCACCCAAAAGCATGTTAGGTAAGACCTTGGATGTGGGAGACATTCTCTTCCAAAAGGCATTTACAAAGTTTCGCTTACCAGGCGCAATAACTTGGGGAATCGTTCGCGAATGGCGCTGTCAAGAACGGGACAGAAGTGAGTGACGCTTCAGAGCCAGCGTGCCTCCTGCTGCTCTAGGAGCAAATACACCAACACCCAGGGCCAGCCCAGCCCAGCCCAGCCCAGCCCAGCCCAGCCCAGCCCGCTTGCCCCCACCACCCTCACCTCAGAGCTCGGGGGGGAAATGGCCCTTGAGCTCGCATCCCACCCCGCCCGGGGCACCCTGAAGTGGACTGCCCTGAAGGCTGACTCTCTCTCTCTCTCTCTCTCTTTCTGCCTGAGCCCAGGTACCACAGAAGCAGCACCCCCAAGCCCAGGCTTGAAGCCCAGGCCCTCCTTCCTTCCCTTCCCTGCCCCCCTTACCTGCCACCTACTCACCTGTGCAGCCCCGGGAGGAGGGAATGGGGTGGGAGCCCAGGGGCTCCGCTGCCTCACCAGGTGTCCATCAGTTCTGCCAGGTCTGGCCTTGGCCAAAACCAGGACACACCACAGGGATGGCACAAGATGTGGGGCAGGGAGATGAGTAAGGCAGAGCTCAGGAAAAGAGAAGGCCAAAGAAGAAGAGAAACAAGGCAAAGAGAGAAGGATGGGAGTACGGGCGAGAGAAAGACCAGAAGAGCCACAAAGGAGAGGGAAAGGCAGAGAGATAGCCAAGAAGAAGGAAAAGAAGTACAAGGCCAGAGGTGTTTGGAACAAAGCGGAAAAGCAGGGCAAAGGCCACAGCCCTTTCTGTCAGCTGCCCCTCTCCCTGAGGTCCAAGGTAGAAACGGCAAAGGAATTGTTATTGCGGCCCGTGGGCAGCTGCTGCTGGTCAGGCCTGTCTGCTACCTGGGTCCTGCTGAGCTGGGCATGGGAAACGAAGCAGCCATGTGGGGGGCAGGAGACAGCCCTCTGAAGGGGTGATGGCTCAGGCTGCTGCAAAGTTGGGGGGGTGAGGATCTATGCCTCACCTCTGTTGGCCCCCGAGTCCTCTCCTGGTGGCCCCTCTGCGACTGTGCCTGTCTTAGGTTGTTCCTTCCCTGAGGAATCTTACCCGTCTCTGGCTAACCAGCCATCCTCCGGGGCCAAGCAGGGTGATGTCAGGTGTGACATGAGGGAGGGGCAGTGCCCCCTGCCAGCATCACTTCTGTCTCCTTGGTAAGCTTATGCCCCCATGGCCTCCACGCCCAGCAGTGGCCTTAGGGTCCCTCTGCCTACTGGCGGGGCCCTGGCTTTGGTCACAGGTCTTGGGAAACCCAGGTTTCTTCTCCAGGGAGGGCCCAGCGCACAGCACTGGGCAAGAGACAGAGTGCATGGCACCAGTCTCCAGGTGGCCTCCACTTCAGCATGGCCACAGTGACCGGAGAAGGGCTTCCTCTTGGCACAAGGGCAAGAGGGGCCATCACAGAACAAAGAGGGAAAGCCCACCTGAGTGGGAAGTCCCTGGCAGGGAGGGCTTTCTTAGCCTCAAGGATACCAGACTGTTAGCACAAGACCACCCCAGATATGGGCATAAATAGGCAGGAAAGGGCCATGCCATCATCTTGGACCAACAGGGTGGGGAGAGTCTAGAAAGAGCTGTGTGCTTGAAGGAAGGAGACAGGCCAGAGAACCAGGCTAGGAGAAGGCAGGGAGAAGGAGGGAGAACTGGGGCAGAGCTGGAGACACAGACAGTTGGTTTCAGCTAAGGGCTACACATCTCCTGCCGATGGGCACTGGCCAGGGTGCGTGAGCTCGGCCTCCTGGGGGGTGAAGGTCCCCAGCAGGGGAAGTGGGGGCTACGGCTGACCTGATGTAGGTGGATTGGTCTCGGAAGCTGTCACACAGAGGATTTCCATCAAGCCAGAGCTCTTCCAGCTTCAACCCTTTCACCTTGTCCAGCTCCCGCTCAGACTTCAGCTGCAGGAGGGAGGCGGGCCTGGTCAGCCATCCAGTGGACACAGCACACCCCCAGTTCCAACCCCCCACTTCTCACCTCATTTCCAGAAAGATTGAGGATCTTCAGGTTAGGTGCCTTCTGCACAATGGGGGAGAGATCATCAAGGCGAAACAGCCGATTACCGCTCAAATTCAAAGACAACAGCTAAGAGAAGAGAGGTGCTGCTTAGAGGAAGAGCCACTGAGGAGGGGTTCAAGACAAATCTGGCCCCCAGCCCCATCCACTTCTCAAGCCCACTACTGGACCAAAGGCCTCACCTCAGGGATGTTCTCTTCAATGATGCGTAGGGAAGCCGCCATACAGTTTCTCCGGCTCAGGACGACATCAATGTTCTGGGTCACCAAATCTGCAAGAGGCAAGAAGGCTGGAAAGATTATTTGGAAGGGACTTGGCCAAGCCAGCATCTGCCCAAACCATTCTCAATCCTGCCCTCCACCTCTGAAAATGACAGCTATCCACTCTTACCTGGGTCGGTACGGAGGCCCTTGAGATCAAGTGCTTGCTGGGAGCCATCATATCTTTTGCTCATGATGAGCTACAGAGGAAGAAGAGCTCATTGATCAGTGGGGTTCTGCAAGGACAGGTGTGAAAAGCAGCAGAATAGAGACACATGCCTGAGCTGGCCTCACCTTTAGCTGCTCGACGTGTTCTGGCTTTAGCTCATTCTGTAGAATCTGGGGTGGAGCAGAAGAATTGATGATGATCGATATCTGTAGGAGAGAAACCAGTGCAGAGTAAATGCCAGGTAAGTCTCAGTCCATGCTATCTAGACCCAGGTCCTGCTCTGTATACTGTCCCCACAGCCAGCCAAGACAGACCCTGCACACACACCTTTCGGTTCTCTCGATCCACAATCTTGTAGTTGACCGCCTTGAGTGCTGAGGCGGTACTGGCATCCTCAACAAAAAACTGGGCCCGCATGTTCTCATAGTGAAACTGCAAGAGGAGGAAGCAAGCATTAAGCTTGGAAGGTTCCCTGGTGCCCGTTGAGCCACACGTGGAGGTCTCATCTTACCTCAATGGGCGTGAAGGGAACACTACACTTGCTCTGAATCAAGCTCAGCAACCATGCCTTGTCATATTTCCTGCCATAAGGGATCTAGATGTGCAAGAAGGAAAAACGAGGAGGAAACAATGTACAGCTCAAGGGAAAGCAGAGCCAACCTAGCGCTCTTCTCAGATCTTCTGCCAAATTTAAGATTTTCTCCAGAAAGGATCATAGATATAAGAACAACCTAATGTGGGTGTAGACTCCCAACTCACAGCGGCCCTGCATAGGGTTTCTGAGGAGCGGCTGACTGAGCTCAAACCACCGACCTTGCAATCCAGTGTTTATATGTATCTCAAATCATTTTTTTTGTTCTGAAAGTTCCCAGATACCATTTAGACAGTGCCTGGCCCACAGAGAACTCCAGGAATCCCATCCCACACTGGACTTGAGGCAAGAGAGACAGTAAGAGTTTCTCTACCATCCAGCACCCCCATCCTGCCTGTCCCCCTTCCATACTTCCCCTCTAGACCTGCTCTTCAGTGTCCCATGACACTGATTCTTAGGGACGAGTGCAGATACCTGGGCCTGAGCAGCTGAAGAAACAAACTCTTTTTCAGGGGGAGGGGCAGGAAGGATAGGTGGTATTAAGGAGTTAGGATCCGGGTTAGATCCACGGCAGGGTCTAGCCAAAGCCTAGGGTTTTGTGTAGTGTTAGGATTAGGGTTAGGGTTTAGGCTAAGAGGAGAAGTAAGGCTTTATCTAGTTAGGATTACAGTTAGGTTAATCTTCAATTTTTTTTCTTAAAATCTACTTGATTTCTTCATTTGTAACTTTTGTTAACAACGTTATCTATTTTTAGTTCATGAAGCTTTTTGTTGTTGCAAACTTGTATCTCTGGATCCCTGTTTTCAGTCTTGGTGTGGTGCTACAGGATAAAGCACTGGACCGAAAGGTCGGTTTGAACAGCAAGGTTGGCGATTCAAACCCACCAGAAGCTCCTCGGAAACCCTATACAGGACTGGGTGCTAGGTGTTGGAACTGACTTGATGGCACGTCACAAGATTTGTTCCACTTTGGATTCTTCTGCATCTAGGCTGAGTTCCGGGCGATTATTGCGTATGTTAATTTCAGGTTGTCCTCTGTTATTATTGGTTCTTCTGTTCAAAGAACTTAACCTTTTGTAAGGTTAGTCTGCTTCTTACAAATTCTTTTAATTTCTGTTTATTTGGAAATGTCCTAAATTTGCCATCCCATCTGATGGCAGTTCTACTAGGCATTTTATTCTTGGTTAGCAATTTTTTCTTTCCTAGTTTTATATATGCCATCCCGCTGTATTCTTGCCTACAAGGTTTCTGCTGGGAAATCAAGAGTTTAGTCTTATTTATTCTCCTTCCCAGGAAACTTCCCATTTTTCCCAAGCTGCTCTCAGGATTGTCTTTGTTCTTAAAAGTCTGATTATAACACGTCTTGATAATTTTCTCCTGGGGGGGGGGTCTATTCTGTTAGGAGTTCGTTCAGCTTCTTGAATGCATTATCTTCTCATCTTTCATGTTCCTCCCATCCCCCAGGAGGTAGGGTGGGGGTGTCTCTTCCTGTTCTGGGATTCCAATTACACTTAAGCTAGTCTTCTTGATGGTATGATTCATAATTCTTTAGTTTTCCTTTGGATTTTTTTGCTGTTCTTTTTCCTGATTCAAGCTCACCAATTCGCCCTCCACTGACTCAGTCCAATCCCTCTGCCCCTTCACTGTGTTAGTGATTTCTGAAATCTGACTACTTTCCTTAGGAATTTCTGTTTGCCGTTTTTAGATGGCTTCTAATTTTACGTTTATTTCGACAGCTTATTCTTGTAGAGTTTTCCTGAATTATCCTAATGTTTTGTCTGTGTTTTACTTGATCATTCTCTCAATTCATTAGATGTACTTAACTATAAATCTTTTGAGTTTCTTATCATGTAATTCCAATACCATTTCTGTTACTACATTTTCTGAGTCAGTGTTTTGGTTCTCGTGTAATTGTCTGTTGTCTCCATACACTGTGGTGTCACTGTATTAAGTGACAGTTGTATGTAGGTGTGGTAGTCACTCACCATCTTTCTCTTGGGGGATGTGTTAAGACTATCGAGTAGTACTTTGTTCACTGTGTAACACAGTTCACGGAGGCCTTATCTAATGTAGGCTGCTAATTAACTATTGCTCATCAGGTGGTACAGGAGGTGGCAGTGGTGCTTGCCCAATGGTTGGAGCTACAGGAAGCCCGGCTAGGGCTGGACCATGTGGGCACAATTGCTATGTCCCTAAAACAAACAACAGACAACAGCAATACAAGATCTGATGAGGTGAAATTCAAGTGGCTGCAGATGTTGGGGTGGTATGCTCAGCACTCTACCCTGGCACAGCTGGGGCTACACAGGAGGGGGTGCCACTGTCCACCAAGGAGGTGAGGGCGGCCACCCCCCAGCTACCAGGAGGGCGTGGGGAACAACGGAGAACAACGCCTCCCTCACTGCCAGCCTCCAGCATGTGTCCTGTGCCTCCAAGCTGCTATGTCCATGACAGCTGTCTGAAAAAGCCTAAGATGACTGTGCTATGCCAGGCCAGCCGGCAGCCCACCCATCTGTCTTCTCTTTCATCACTCCCTCACTCAGCTTTCTCTCCCAGGGGGCACACAATCTAGCTCTCAAGCCTCTCCTCTGAAGCTCAGGGTTCCAGAATCACCATCCGCACCTGCTTCACTTGGTTTCCTGAGTCATTATTGCTGTGGGTCAGCTCAGCACTTTAGCCAACTCTGCCACTTTGTCCCAGCAGTCCAGAAGATGGATTTTGTAGAATAAACAGTAAAAGCCTTTCCCTGCGAGCCTAGTGCTCTGTCGCTGGGGCTTGTCCAAGGTACTCACTGTGATCTTGAACCAGTTCTTTGTGGTCCCATCCTGGCTGGGGCCAGCCACTCCCCGCTCAGGAGGACCTCTGTCTCTCCGCACAGTAACGTGGATCCTGTCTCGATCATACCAATTATCACCGCGACGGTTGGATCGGTTAACATAGGGGTTGCTGTGAGAAAAGAAGAGAGAACGAAGTCCTTAAATGCTAGAAAAGTCTTCTCGAAGACCTCCACACACATTGCTCTCTAGGACATAGCTGAGGCTGGTCACGCAGCAGACTGAGCCCGGCATCTCTCATCCTTCCTGGTGGGAAGGGAGCAGTACAACAGTCAGAGGGCAGCATCAGCTTGTAAGTTATGATGGTCACACCTCCTGGTCACTTACTACCGTACTCGGGGTCCATCCTGGGCATCAGTCATTGCCACATCTCCATCGTCTTCATCGAGGCGGTTAGATCGAACACCAGAATTGCCTCTTCCAGACCGACGGTTCCCCGTCCACCGGAAAGGACCCCGACCTTTCCTTCTTCGAGGGACACTCACACGGTCATTGTGCTCTGGAATGGGGCATGGAACACAAATTAGCAAACAGGACACTTATTCAGCGATCCTGGTGTGACAACCACAATACCTACCACCCTGCACTAATGGAGCAGACACACACCAACAGAAGCCACTACCTGGCAAACTCCTTTACCCGGCTGGAGAACAGAAATCTCTCTAAGAGATGGCCACTTCAGGGGAAAACACTTGGAAAAATGTGTACGGCTTTTGAAAAAGGAAGTGGAGCTTGGGACCACAAAGAGAAGCAGATTGTGGCAACATGGGTAACCCAGAAGTGTTAAGTGGACACAAATCAGACCCTGAATTTGTGAAGTTGATTTCAGACCCCTGAAAGTCACCTGAAGTTGAATTCCTCTCCACCTCCCAGATCTACTTATGCCACCAACTTCTCTGACACCACGTTTCCATCAGCTTTCAGTACACTCTACTTTACGACAGATGCCAACCACAAACATTAATTTACCAAACCCACTGCCACTGAGTTGATTCCAACTCACAGTGACCCCTGTTGGAGAGGGAGTGGAACTGCTCCCCAGGGTTTTCCAGACTGTGTTACCTTTATGAGAGACAGCTTACTTGCATCCCTATATTAAGATCACAATAATACCTTCTAAGGTATTATTGCCTCATCTTTCTCCTGTGGTACAGCTGGTGAGTTTGAACTGCCAACCTTGTGGTTAGCAGTCCAATACTGAGTCACCAGGGTTCCTTCATACAATCTAAGGGTTGCCCTAAAAAAAAATAAAAAAAAATCCCTGCTCTCAGCTAGGAGACCACTCCTAGAATCAGGCTCTAGTGACAACTTCAAGGTAGGATGGATGCTTCAACAAAAGAGCCTCAAATGTCACCCAGGGATATGACGCTCTGAATCTGGTGTATAGAAACAGTTCCCCGGGACCCCTAAAAGTTCTGCCCAATGCCTAGTGCCCTGGAGACAATGCAGCTCAACAAAAGACTCGGGGGAGGAGGACAACAAATAATAATAGAACAGCAGGTGAACTGAGCGCTTTCTCCAGTGCCTGCTCCGAAGGCTTCCGGATTCGGATTTGAATGATCTCACTGAAACAAACACACCCAACACCCCTTAGAAGGTATTACTGTGATCTTATTATAGGGATGCAAGCTTGGCATAGCCAAATGAGGATTAAAACCTCGGCCATCCTGCACTGCTAACCACGACACTGGACCAGAGAGCATCGAGTGGCGTGTAGGAGTCTGCAGTATAAAGCCCAAACCGCAGGGCAAAGAGCAAGCGCGACTGGACGCGGTGGAAAACAGGTCACCAGCGCAGCCCGGAGGCACAGGTATTGAGTCACATTAAAGGAAGAGTCAGGCCGCCAAAATGAACTGACAGGCATTAACCACGCACCAAGCTGAAAGGCAGCGCGCCACGGCTCCGAGCCTCACGCCAGACTCCCGAGTCCACTAGCCCGGCGCCCACTCTCTTGTACTACTGGGGCCGCCCCGCCCCCGGCTCCCCGGCTCCCCCGGCCCGCGCCCTTCCCCGCGGCCGCTGAGCCCCTCGCGGTCTCTCCTCCTGGGGTTGCGGCCTAGGCCGGCGCCGCCCGCACCACCGCCCCCGACGCCGCATCACCCCGTTCCGCCGTCAGGGGACCAGTACTGACCGTTGTACGACTTCCCATCGTCGGCCATGGCACAGCGAGCAGCAGGGGCGCTCAGGTCAAGGCCGCGACGCCTCCAAACGTCCGAACGCCCGGGCGCCCAGGCCGAAGCGCTCCTACGCCCGGCGCCGCCGCATTTACCCGGAGAAGCACGTCGCGCGCCGCCGACGTTCTCAGGTGGTGGGTGGGACCGCTGGGAAGGGGCGCGGCGTGCGGCGCGTGCGCACTAAGCAGGACGCCAGCCGGGGACTGGGCTAGCTGCTCCACGCCCACAAAGATTGAGCTTTCAGAGCCAAGACCAGCTCGCGGGTTCATTCAGCTTCCTCCTTTCTTCGTCCGCTGACGCTTCACCGGCACCTCGTTAGCCCTGACCAACGACCACGGGACTGGACCAGCCCAGAACTCCGAGAGGAACAGGGTAGAAGAGTTTCTGAGGAACTGGAGACGCGGCCCCGTTTTGGGAATGATCCCTTCAGGATCCAACTATTTTGGAAAGGTCCGGATTCGCCCCCTTACCAGCAGCGGTCCTTGAACCTCGCTTCTCTCGCCCGTATAATGTGTTGATGACCACGAAATAAAACAATAGAATTTAACGCAAGCACTAGAATAAATGAGTGGAGACCATGACTTAATGGAGTTTTTTCCTCTCCAGCTGCTGACCAAGTACCACGCGGGGCACTCATTGTCTACTGGAGTTACCCTGTCAAAAGAGACTGCGTGTGATGTGTAATGTCCGACTTTGGGGAGCAGTCCTCTTAACATCCCCACTTGTATGCTGTGCCCACATCACAGGCCAACCGGGCAATGTACAGGCAAGCAAGAGCACTCGGCGAGACCAAACTCAAAACTATGCCCGCTGCAATCAAGTCAACTCCAATCCATAGTATAGCCCCGAACTGCCCCGTCAGGTTTCCAAGGCTGTATTCTCGGAGTCCTGGGGTGGTGCTGTAGAATAACCTCTGGACTACTGACCACAAGCATGGCAGCAATTGTGAGCTTGGCCCAGGATCAGGCAGTGTTTTGTTGTTGTCGCTGTGAGTCGGTACCGTACTGATTCGATGGCACCTAATAACCACAAGGTTGCTGGTTCAAACCCACCAGCTGCCCCTTGTAAATCCTATTCAAGGTCGCGATGAGTCAGAACACTTAACACGACACTTAACAATCTTTACTAAGCAGACTGCCCCATCTTCCTCTTATTGTGCAGCTGGTGGGCTCTAATCTCTAGCCTTTGGGTTAGCAACCGAATACTCAACCACTGCAACACAGGGGATCCTTGAAAAGAGGCCATGGGAAGAAGGACTCTTAAAATGCCAGGTTAAGAAAAACCAGGCTCCTCTTGGTCCCAAAAGTACTAGGAGAGGCCAAGGGTAGGGTGATGAGAATTGCTACAGCTTGGGGATGTGAAAGAGGATCTCCTGTGATCTCAGAATGGTGTGGTTATGGACACTGGTCAGGAAGGGCCAAGGAGTCCATAAGCCTCCCTGTTGCGTGGAGATCCCCACAGATTTCTCCTCTGTTCTGTGACTTGAATTTTGTGAGGGGCTTGGAAGAGACCAAAAACCTAGCTGGAGCAGGAAACACAGTCTTCATTTCACCAGCTGCTAATGGCAGAAGGCAGAGCTCCTGCCTCATCCAGTAATGCAAATAACTGGGCTCAATGGGTTGGAGGATACAAATGTAACCAGTTCACATACTGCTTAATGGTCTTGGAGTTGCCACCAAACACCCACTCTGGGCTCCTGCTCCTCCTTTTGAAGACGTTTCCATGCTAATGAGGTGCCACAGCACTTGGTTCTCTTTTGCCTGGAAGCAGTTGTGTGTGCAGTGCCCCAAGGCTGCCGGGGTCAGCCAACAGCACAGCCTGCTCCTGCGTAGGCCCTTCCACGCGCCCACCCAGAAAAGACGACATGGCTCGAGAGGCTGACAGTCTTGCTGTAATTGGGAGAAAATGGGCTGCAGTGTATTTGGCAGATTGAGAGTCACCGGCAGCCAGTGCTGGGAGGTGTGTAGGTAGCAGAGGGGCTTAGGGCCCTCCGCCTCCCATGGTGAAGAGAGGAAAGAGAGAGCAGTCAAGTTCTAACCCAGATGGGAAAGTTGGTCCCTGGGGCAGTCTCTTTTCCTCACCTCACTCTCAGGAAGGTGGGGAAGGGCATCATGTCCCCTTGCTGCCAGAGTTTCCTTTGGGAGAGGCTAGGGAGGATTTCTAAAAACTCCTAGTGGAGAGGCCTCTCCTACTGGCCCCTGGCTGGCCTCTGCTCCCTTCTTCCAGTCATTTCACAGCAGAGTCCAAATCCAGAACCATGTGTGTTTCATGGGCCGAGGGTGGTGAGGAAGGGCAGGGTGGCCAAAGGCAATAAGTGGGGAGTGGGGGGAGCAGGGGCATTGGCCATTCTTAGCAGTTCCAGGGAAACAGGGCGCTTCTCAGCACCCTGCAAAGGCTCAGTGGTCGGTGGCCTGGGTTGCCTGCCTTCCCAGGAGGGCTCCAAGCCCCCATGAAGTGCTTCAGCATGGAGAGGGTTCAGGCAAGGAAGACCACGAAGATGATGAAGAAGACAATGAGGATGAGGAAGATTTTGACCATGAGCCACCGGTTGGAGGTGACGGATTGGAAATATTTGAGGATCTCTGAATGGGCGGCCTCAACATCCAGCTGGGCTCCTAGCACATTCTCGTCGATCCTGGGACAGGCCGGGAGGGAAGGAAACACAGGAAATACGGCTGTTAAATGGGTAGACACCAAGTTGATCATTGGGTACCAGGGGCGTGAGGGAGCGGCGGGTGTGTGTGTGTGTGTGTGTCGGGGAGTCGTATTCAGGAAGGGTAGGATTGTATTGCTGGTTATTGTAACTGTTGTCAATAAGTTATAATACACCTGTTAAAATACTGAATTGGCAAAGTTGTATGATAGATACATTTACACCAACCACGAAAGGGTGGTTGGTGAGGCTGCTTATATACAACCAAGCACCCTATGGGAGGGATTTGGAGGTTTAGGGTTCTGGCTTCATGGGGCATGCCAGTAACTGGCCTAAAAACGTGTTTAGTGCTGTTTGTTGCACAGTGCCTGGGGTGGTCTTAAACACCTGCAAATGGCCACTCAAGGCACAACCGTGGGTCTTACTCACCTGGAGCAACAGAAGGAGAGTCTGGATAGGAGGTAGATCTGGACTGCGTGGCAAACTGCCCCATGAGCAACTGCCTGCCTACTCTGCCACGAGACCAGAAAAGCTAAATGGGGCCCAGCTACATGAATGGGTATTTTGATCAAATATAATGGAAAATTCCATGCAACAATCAGGATGAAAGGGGGGGAGGATATGAAGAACAGAATTTCAAATTCTCATTGACTCCAGACTTTCTGGACCTATGAAAGGTGATGAACCCCTGAAACTACTGCTCTGAAGTACCCTTTAAAGCTTAAACCAAAAATACCCCCTGAAATCTTCTTAAAACGGAACCATAGTTGAGCCTCATTGGTGAGAAGGCCTGCCTTGAGCGTTATACTCGTTCAAGAACTAGGAGAGCAAAGTGCCAACAGTAACCTGAAAAACTAGATGATAGAGACTTTAGGGGCAAAAAGTTTATGAGGAAGAAATCACTGCATGACTAGAAGAATGTCATCAGTGACACTCCATGACACCTGCAGAAACTGACTTGAGCATATAGTCTCAACAACAAAAACGCTTTTAAGGTGTATTTTTAAGGGCATGGAAAGACGGTCACAACATGGAGGGGATAAGGGTTTCTATACAAGGTTGTTAAGTGCCGTCGGGTTGGTTCCCACTCATAGTGACTCTATACAGGGTTTTCAAAGAGGGTCTGCTGAGTTTGAACTGCTGACCTTTACAGTTCAAACCAACCTTGCGGTCTAGTGCTTATCCTACAGAGCCACACCTGGACTCCTATAACCCAGTATATTTATTTTGTACATATAAGGGGACTTCAAAAAGTTCAAGGAAAAATGGAATTGTACATTGAATAGAAATGGAATTTTTCCATGACCTTCTTGAAGTCCCCTGGTATAGTGGATGCAGAAAGGCTCCTAGAGGCTCTATAACTGAGTCTTGGCTCTAGTGTGAGAACGGGTTCTGCTACTTCATTAGCTTATGACCTGAAGTCAGACATTTAACTTTAAACCTCTAGTTTCTTTCAGCTGTAAGATGATAATAACACAATACCCCAGCTCTCCAGTTGTTAAAGTCTTAAAGGTCAATAGTTCAAATCCACCAGCTGCTCCTTTGGAAACCCTATACAGGGTTGTCATGAGTTGGAATGGACCCGATGGCACTTAACAACAACAATCCGTAGGACAGGAGTCTTGATGGTGCAACAGTTAAGCACTCAGCTAGCTACTAACCATAATGCTGGCGGTCTGAACTCAGCCAGCTCCCTGGGAGAAGCACCTGGCAGTCTCCTCCTGTCAGGATCGCTGCTGTTAAAGTACCATCGAGCTGCTTCTGACTCACAGCACCCCTGCACGTAGCAGTTCTTATGTATGGAGACATTCTCAAAGGATGAGCAATCTCTTGAGAGGTTACTGAGGAAAATAAGGAACTTCCCCCACAAAAGGCAGACCAAAGGGAAATAACAACCAAATGCAATGTGTGGATCCTGGTAGGTCTGTAAATTGAATTTTAAAAAGCTAAGAAAATTTTTTTAGAACAATTATTAAAGAGATTTGGCTATCAAGTGAGTACTAAATAGTGTTGCGGAAACATTCATTTTTTAGGTATGTGTAAGGGTTGAATTATGCACCCTCAAAATAGATGTTCGAGTCCTAACCTCTGGTACTTATTGATATGACTGTGTTTGGAAACAAAGTCTTTGAAGATGCTGTTAAAATAAAGTCATTTTGCAGAAGTTGTTGTTACGTGCCATCAAGTCTGTATAAGGTTTCTGAGGAGTGGCTTGTGGGTTTGAACCACCAAACCTGCAGTTAGCAATTGCGTGCTGATCCTCCAGCACCATAGCTGGCTGTCCCTATAAAAAGAAGAGACGAGACAGACACAGAGGGAAGACGGCCATGAAACACGGAGTAGAGTGAGGCACTCACAAGCCAAGGAACATGAACAATTGCCAGGAACCACAGAAGCTAGGAAGAGGCGACCAAGGATCTTTGCAGTGAGCACCGCCCTGCTGACACCCTGATTTCAGACTTCTGGCTGCTGCTAAATTTCTATAGTTTTATGTCACTCCATTTGTGGTAGCTTCTTACAGCATATCTAGGAAACTGAGATTGGTATAAGAATGGTATTGTGGCTGTTCAGGGCAATGTATTCTTAGCGGATGCATGCTGAAAAAGGGATAAAAAAGTCACGATGTTTGCATTTTCAAATGATTCAGGTAATGAGACCGGGAACAGTGGTAACAGAGGCTGAGTTTAGGTGAAGGGAACATAGGTGTTCATCATGCTGGTCTTTCAACTGTTCTGAAGTTTGAAATTTTACATTTAAAAATTAGGGGGGAAAAGAGAATTGGCTAAGACTACATCAACAGTTTTCGCAACTTAGAAGAAAATAAGAATCACCTGTTGAAGATCTCAAAGATTCCAGTTCTCGAGAATCCACACAGTGAAGGGTTCACTGGTTGAAGCCGTACTTTCCAAAGCGGATACACAAACCCAGACCCCGGAAGCAAAGCTAAGAAAGTCCACGTCTAGTTTTAAATGTTCATCCTTTCAAAGTGTCCGATGCTTTCAAATATTTCTTCTACCCACAATTTTTATGCTTCCACCTGCTATAAAATTGCTTCTGAAACTGCTGGCACTGATCCAGTTAATCCGAGCCCTGAACCCAATTGTTGTTGTTGTTGTTGTTGTCAAGTGCCGTTGAGTTGGTTCCGACCCATAGCAACCCTGTATAGGGTTTCTGAGGAGCAGCTGCTGAGCTTGAACTACCGACCTTGCAATTCAAATGGCTCTGCAGTCTGGTGCATCAACCCACAGCGCCACAACAGGACTCCGGACCCAATTAGCACCTTACAATCCTCCCTTCCCACTTGCTTCCTCACATGGACTGGGCATTGACCACTCGTCCTTCCACCCCAGCTTCTGAGAGGCCATCACGCCCTTCTCTTCCTGCAGCTGCCTCCTCACTCTCCTTGGACAGGTCCTGCCCTACTCTGCATGAACACTGGTATGCAATGGGAATCTGTCCTGTCCTGTTTCTTACTTTCTCCACTGACCCTGAGTGCTCTCCTCTGTGCCCATGGTGTCCCCAGAAGGCCACTGACTCTCAAGTCCTCTCTCCAGGTCAGCCTTCTCCTCTGGGCATCGGACCCTTTATCTAAAGGCAGCCTGGCACTCAGCATGGCCAGAACCAACCACAACTCTAATCCACTTCCTCTTGGGTCCAAACTTCCTCTGGTGGCACAAGTGCCCTGTGACCTGACCCCGCCCCAATCCAGCTCTAGCCCTCACCAGGCCCCCAGCCACTGAAGAGCTCAGCATTTTGACTCCACCCACTCCATCTTACTTCTGTACTGGTTTTCCCACCTGGGTGGCCCACTCCCTCCCCTCCTTGTCTCACAGCCCCTGCCTAGGAGAGGTGCCTACTTTGAGTTCCCTCATCCCTCTCTTCCTGCCCTGAGCACACTGAACAGGGAAGATATAAATAACTTCCAAGTGGGAAGGTACCAGTCATGAGGATATAAATGGTGGTGTGGCGCTGCAGGATAAGCACTGGGCTGCTGATCGAAAGGTTGGTGGTTCAAAACCACCAGCTGCTCCTCAGAAAAGCTATCCAGGGTCGCTATGACTGGGAACAACTCGATCACTCTTAACAACGACACTACTCGGCTGAGCTCCACAGCAGAACTGCCTTCACCCTGCTGTCCCCAACAATTACTGAACCAGGGGACAAGGAAGCATTGACAAGAAAAGGGACTGTGCAGCCCTCAGGGATGAACAGGGTGCAATCTAATACAAAGAGGGCTTCAAAACGCTCGTGGGAAAATGGAATGACAAGATAGGCATTCTCCCACGAACTCTCTGAAGTTCCCTTGTGTATGCCACAGCCAGCATCTGTGCGTGAGCAGCCACAACGTGCCACCTCCCCCATTACCAACAAAGAGCTGACTGGCCTCCGGGTGAAGCCACACACACACACACCCCCTTTCTCCGGACACTGTCTCTCCGGGAATGCTCCCCTCTGACCTAGTCCCATTCTTGTTTCTCCGCTGGAACATGCTCACCAGCATGCAAACTTACTTATGTTTTCTCTCGTCCCTTAAAACAAACTAACAACAACTCTTGGCTCCCACTGAATAAACCTGAAAGAAATAATCAGCACTGGAAAGAATCAGTACCCTAACTGACGATAACATAATGCAAGAAACATGAAAATCTTCAGTCCACAGTGATCTCAAAAACAAGGAAGAATTAAAAACCACCACCAATCTCCTTTAGCACCACTGGCAGCAGCTGTTGTATCAGCTGTTGACTGAACACAGTGAAAATAATGAGGGCGCTCAGTCACCTTGTGAAGGGGTGGGCAGCTCATGCCGGTGTAAAGAGCTCTCTCTACAGAAAACACATCCAGTGAGACTGTGGATGTGACGAAACACCTAAGTGATGGCTCAGAGGAGTGGCGGGGATGAGCAGGTGGAGGCCAGGGCATTCCTAGGGCAGAGAAACGTGCTCGCATGACGCTGTCACAGTGCGCACATGATGTTAAACATT